TCTACCTTTATTATTGTTTTGTATATCAGAAATGGGGAAGCAGTGAGAAGTGAGGTACTCACGCCTCAGGTAGGATGGGATGGGAGGCGATGCGACAAGCCTGTCTCAACATGTCAGGCAGGAGTCCAGCAGCCAGGGACGGCTTGCGATGGACCAAGGCAGACAGGGCCACCAGACACAGTCCAATCTCCTCGTCAGCATACTCCTGCAGGATAGCTCCACACTGGCTGCACCGATCCTGTACTGGGTCATCCCGGTTCTTCTTTGGGGTGGTCTCTCCACTGCGCCTGCTGCGCCGGAACCCATCTCCCTGGTGTCTGTGCACATCCTCCCAGTGAGAGCCAAGCAACCATCAATGAGGTAAACATGATTTCCCAAGTATGTACACAAAGACTGAACTCATTAAGACACAAAAGACACTACTTGGCAAAAGTAGTGAAAGGCCCAATGTATTGCATTTTCATAAATTCTTCACTTCACAGAAGAGGGACCAACTTGAGAGAAGATTGATGTTATTCACCACTTTCTGTAGATAACTGCTATGTTTACCTATCTTGGAGAATCCTGTATGGGACGAGTGTCCTCAATAGAGTCTTTGTTGTTGAAATCTTCAGAAGGGGGCTTACAGAATAACTTCTTTAATTCAACCAACTCTAATACAACACTTACTATGATTCAACTAGTTTTCAAATACCAATTAGCCTATTTACTTTAACAGATTCTATGTTGAGATATCAATTTAATTTAAAATATCAAGGTAATAAGACCAAATCCAAATAAATAACAACTCTGTTACCCAAACATCACACACTATATATTTATTTGGATTTGGTCTTATTACCTTGTGTCTATAACCTATAATCCAAATTGTCTTATCAATTTGAAATTCCCTTAAATGTCAGCAACAAAAGCTACTGCTTTTACTGTAAAAGTGCACCACATGTCTACACACGTGAAAAGCAGTTTGAATTTTGCACTTACAAATGTGCCAGAGCCTCGTTTGGTTACACGTACTTGATGGTGGGTTGCATTTTCAATTATTTCTGCTGATGACAATGAAAAGCGCCTCCCTTTTAACGTCATTTTAAGTTTTGAAAAGAAGAAGAAATCACATTGGGCAATATCAGGAGAGTAAGGAGGATGCGGCACGACAGATACAGAGTGTTTGGCTAAATAGTCTTGAACAATAATGGCTCTATGAGCAGGGGCATTATCATGTAGCAATTTCCACTGTTTAGATTTATAGAGTTGGTTTCTTTTTCTTCTTATCGCATCACGAAGGTGCACAAGTATTTCTTTGTATGCCTGTTTATTAATGGTAACCCCCTCTTTAATAAATTCATAATAGACAAGTCCTTGATAATCGAAAAACACTACAAGCATTACTTTTCCTTTGGACTTGTCAAGATGAACTTTCTTCTTCCTAGGAGAACTTGGTGTGTGCATTCGAGTGATTGTTTTTTGGTTTGTGGATCAAAAAGAAAGCACCATGTTTCATCACCAGTTATTATTGTGTGTGTTTTTAAAAAAATCAGAATCATTATTTGCAGTTTCAATTAAATATTTTCAAATTGATAATCTGGTTTCTCTTTGTTGATCTGTTAAATTTCGTGGGACAAAATAACCACAAAGTTTTTTCATGTTTAAATGTTCACCAATAAATTTTTGGCACCTACCACACAAAGTTCCAAATATTTCTGATATTTTATCAATAGTAATTTTTCTATCAGCAACAATTAAATCACGTACCTGTCCAATATTGCGATCTGTTGTAGACATCAATGGCCGACCTGACCTTGAATCATCTGCGATGCTCTTACGGCCATCTTCAAAACATTTATACCAAAAATAAAATTGCGTTTGTGACAATTTTTCGTCTCCATAAGCTTCATTCATTAATGATAATGTCTCTGTGAAAGACCTTTTTTAATTTTACACAAAATTTCATATTTGCCCTTTGCTAAAATGATGACATTGCAGAAACGACGCAAGCTAAATACTTACAACAAAAATATGCCTAAAATGAAAACTACACATGCGCATTTACTGGCGTTGCTAATTAAATTATAGTAAGGGCTTTGTTCTTTACAGTAAAATTGATTTTATATTTTTCAAAAGTTATTTTGTATTTTATTTTTAAAAAGTTCGGGAACTTTTTGATCTTACAGTGTATATATATAAAAGGTTGCATTTAAAAATACTTATGAGCTTAACCAAATATTTAATTGTATAATGAGAAAATTAAATTTTAAACCACCATTTTGCCATAACTAGTTTTTGTTAATAAGAAATTCCTTCAATTTATTCTCTATTCCTAAATTCCTGTTATGGCATTTAAGAGATTTTTGGTTATTTTTTTGATGGGTAAAAAGTGTAAATTAGAAAAATTCTATTTTACTTGTCAAAAAATGCTTTAGGATATGCTGTAGATGGTACCTGGTAGTGCCTGAAGCATGGGGATCCAGGCCGCGGTCTGGCAGCTGTTTCTTCTGTTTCCTCTGTCGGTAGTGGAGCCGGCATTTGCCCTCATCGGACGATACTGCCACAGTCACACACTCAGTAACTTGGATACAGTAGAACATACTCCATTAGAGGAAACCCCGCTAGCGGACATCTCTCTACAAAGGATAGTTTTCATTTGTAAAATTACCATTTTTACTATTTAGCAACTCTCCGGTAAGTGGACACCTCTCCCTAAAGGATACTTTGGCTCTGTAATTAGGTGTTGTCCTTTACAGAGAGGTTCTACTGTAGCAATTCTCTGGTAAAAGGACACTTTTGCTCTGCAATTAGGTATTGTCCTTTATAGAGAGGTTCTACTGTATATGGAGCTAACAATACTGTCATCATTTTTGTTGAGAAGGCAAATTTTGTTAGTCTCTCAATTTGAAAAAAAAGTTTATATTTAAACAAATTTGTTATACAGTGTATCAAACCTCCCTATAACAACATTTACTGATGGAGGGGGGACCCTTGGAATATTTGACCAAATTCTGGTCCAAGGTGACTAACATGGCAATAGTACCTTTTTTACAATGAAGAAGAAATTGACATGGACCCAGAACAGCAGCTTTACACACCCAAGAAAGAGAACATTGCTTTGATAGAGATGTATGGAGACATCTGAGGCTTTTCATTGAACACAACAACAACAACAGAAAATTGACATGGACCCAGAACAGCAGCTTTACACACCCAAGATAGAGAACATTGCTGTGATAGAGATGTACGGAGACATCTGAGGCTCTTCATTGGACACAACAACAACAGAAAGTTGACATGGATCCAGAACAGCAGATTTACACCCAAGATAGAGAACATTGCTGTGATAGAGATGTACGGAGACATCTGAGGCTCTTCATTGGACACAACAACAACAGAAAATTGACATGGACCAAGAACAGCAGCTTTACACACCCAAGATAGAGAACATTGCTGTGATAGAGATGTATGGAGACATCTGAGGCTCTTCATTGAACACAACAACAACAACAGAAAATTGACATGGACCCAGAACAGCAGCTTTACACACCCAAGATAGAGAACATTGCTGTGATAGAGATGTACGGAGACATCTGAGGCTCTTCATTGGACACAACAACAACAGAAAGTTGACATGGATCCAGAACAGCAGATTTACACACCCAAGATAGAGAACATTGCTGTGATAGAGATGTATGGAGACATCTGAGGTTCTTCATTGGACACAACAACATACAATTGACATGGACCCAGAACAGCAGATTTACACACCCAAGATAGAGAACATTGTTGTGATAGAGATGTATGGAGACATCTGAGGCTCTTCATTGGACACAATAATAACAGAAAATTGACCCAGAACAGCAGATTTACACACCCAAGATAGAGAACATTGCTGTGCTAGAGATGTATGGAGACATCTGTGGCTCTTCATTGGACACAACAAAAACAGAAATTTGACCCAGAACAGCAGATTTACACACCCAAGATAGAGAACATTGCTGTGATAGAGATGTACGGAGACATCTGAGGCTCTTCATTGGACACAACAACAACATACAATTGACATGGACCCAGAACAGCAGATTTACGCACCCAAGATAGAGAACATTGTTGTGATAGAGATGTATGGAGACATCTGAGGCTCTTCATTGGACACAACAACAACAGAAAATTGACCCAGAACAGCAGTTTTACACACCCAAGATAGAGAACATTGCTGTGATAGAGATGTATGGAGACAACTGAGGCTCTTCATTGGACACAACAACAACATCATTTACTGCACTATAACAACATTTTGGAAATGTGCGTATTATTAATAAATATATATTATCAAATAATAAATATCTCCAGAACTTCAATTATTAAGTTATTGAATGGAGGGCTTAGCTCATCAGTGGTGAACTCTCTCAGCATTGATTTTTATTACAAATTTTATTGATAGATGGTAAATGAATTTATAGTTGTATGATTTTATATTCACAAGGTAATAAGACCCAATCTCAATAAATAAATAGTGTGTAATCTTACGGTAACAGAGTTGTTCAATCAGACTGAATGTAGTATTTTTTTTCATTCAGTACTTTTGTCTGAAAATGATAACAACACTGTTACAGAAACGTCACACAATACTTATTTGGATTTGGTCTTATTACCTTGTGTTTATTATTATCTATAATCCAAATTGTGTCTTATTAAGATTTGATGTTGTTTTAATGATTTTAGAAATTCGATGTTCTAATCACGTTTCTGTGTTAAAAGAGGATGCTATAATGAGATTCCACTGTATATACAGTTAAACCTGTCTATAGCGCCCTCTCTTGGAACTCACCAAAATAGGGTGTTATAGAGAGGGGGCGCTATAGACAGGTTTACCTGTAGTTGTGTATACAATGATAAGGTACAATTTGGATTATAGATTATAAACACAAGGTAATAAGACCAAATAAATAAATAGTGTATGACGTTTCGGTAACAGCCTTGTTACCATCATCAGACAAAATTACTTTTTATAGTCCCACATGGTCTAGTGGCTGGGATATATGGCTTTCACCCAGAAGGCCCTGGTTCGATTCCTGGTGTAGGAATAATTTTTCAGTACTTTTGTCTGATGATGGCAATAACGCTGTTACCGAAACAGCACACACTATTTATTTATAATTGATCTTATTACCTTTTGTGTATACAGTAGAACCTCCCACAGAAGACATCCCTGCTAGAGCACACCTTTCTCTTAGGATAGTTTTCCTCACCAAAATGACCATTTGCACTAACTAGCAACTCTCCGGTAAGAGACCACATCTCTCTAAAGAATACTTTTGTTCTGTAGCTAGATATTATCTTTTACAGAGAACTTCTAGTGAAACAATCATCGAATGTGATTAAAGAGTCTAATCACTTATTGAGGAGTAAATCAAAACTTTTCACATGGCAACAAATCTGGTGTATCAAGATGACAGAGCACCTCTGTTAAAATAGGAAGCTATAAAAAGCTATGTACTATCCATTTTGTTGAGATATATACAGTAGAACCTCCATGTAAAGGACAACACCTAATTGCAGAGCCAAAGTGTCCTTTAGGGAGAGGTGTCCTCTTAACAGAGAGTTGCTACAGTAGAACCTCCATGTAAAGGACAACACCTAATTGCAGAGCCAAAGTGTCCTTTAGGGAGAGGTGTCCTCTTAACAGAGAGTTGCTACAGTAGAACCTCCCTGTAAAGGACAACATCTTAATTGCAGAGCCAAAGTGTCCTTTAGGGAGAGGGGTCCTCTTAACAGAGAGTTGCTACAGTAGAACCTCCATGTAAAGGACAACACCTAACTGCAGAGACAAAATGTCCTTTAGGGAGAGGTGTCCTCTTAACAGAGAGTTGCTACTTTAGAACCTCCCTGTAAAGGACAACACCTAATTGCAGAGCCAAAGTGTCCTTTAGGGAGAGGTGTCCTCTTACCAGAGAGTTGCTACAGTAGAACCTCCCTGTAAAGGACAACACCTAATTGCAGAGCCAAAGTGTCCTTTAGGGAGAGGTGTCCTCTTACCGGAGAGTTGCTACAGTAGAACCTCCCTGTAAAGGACAACACCTAATTGCAGAGCCAAACTGTTCTTTAGGGAGAGGTGTCCTCTTAACAGAGAGTTGCTACTTTAGAACCTCCCTGTAAAGGACAACACCTAATTGCAGAGCCAAAGTGTCCTTTAGGGAGAGGTGTCCTCTTACCGGAGAGTTGCTACAGTAGAACCTCCCTGTAAAGGACAACACCTAACTGCAGAGCCAAAATGTCCTTTAGGGAGAGGTGTCCTCTTAACAGAGAGTTGCTACTTTAGAACCTCCCTGTAAAGGACAACACCTAATTGCAGAGCCAAAGTGTCCTTTAGGGAGAGGTGTCCTCTTACCGGAGAGTTGCTACAGTAGAACCTCCCTGTAAAGGACAACACCTAATTGCAGAACCAAAGTGTCCTTTAGGGAGAGGTGTCCTCTTAACAGAGAGTTGCTACTTTAGAACCTCCCTGTAAAGGACAACACCTAATTGCAGAGCCAAAGTGTCCTTTAGGGAGAGGTGTCCTCTTACCGGAGAGTTGCTACAGTAGAACCTCCCTGTAAAGGACAACACCTAATTGCAGAACCAAAGTGTCCTTTAGGGAGAGGTGTCCTCTTACCAGAGAGTTGCTACAGTAGAACTCCCTGTAAAGGACAACACCTAATTGCAGAGCCAAAGTATCCTTTAGGGAGAGGTGTCCTCTTACCGGAGAGTTGCTAAATTGTAATAACAGTAATTTTGTAAATGAAAACTGTCCTTTGTGGAGAGGTGTCTGCCAAAGGGAGGTTCTACTGTATATGATATAGTAGTGCACCATCTCTTATGATAAGTTTTAACTCTATTTGTCGCGTATCTTTCTTTTTAAAATAAATAATAATCTATTCCCCCCTTACTTCGATGATAAAATAATGTGAGGGCCGGACTCCCAGCGTTGGGAGGGTTTATCACCGATAAGCCAGGCTCTCCTAATATTTTATCATCACATTAATGGCATTGAAAAATGGTTTAATTTAAAAAGAAACGTACGCCTCAAAAACAGTTTGAATTTCTCATACAGTAGAACCTCCCTGTAAAAGACATCTAGTTGGAGAGCCAAAGTGTCCTTTAGGGAAAGGTGTCCTCTTACTGGAGAATTTCTAAATAGTAAAAATGGTAATTTTGTAAATGAAAACTGTCCTTTATAGAGAGGTATTTTCTAGCGTGAGTGTCCTCTCGTGGAGGTTCTACCGTATATCCTTCTTTTCCAAAATTACTTTTCTCTAAGCAAAATTCCCCATTCTGGTTATTCCAACACACTGACTGGCCCTGCTACAGTGGAATCTGAAGGATCGAGGAGTTCTCTGTGAGACATTGGGAAATCAACATAAACTGACAAGGGCTAAAGTCTTCAGATGGACATTAAAACTTTGTCAAATCTGGTACGGAGGCAAGTTGGCTCATCCAAATTATCTGTATATACATTTTCATGACATTTAAGATATCTACATATACACAAGGTAATAAGACCAAATCCAAATAAATAGTGTGTGACGTTTTGGTAACAAGAAATGAAGATGGTAACAACACTGAAACATCACACACTATTTAATTATTTGGATTTGGTCTTATTACCTTGTAGTTTTACACTCTTCTGTATTTAATTTCCAAATTATGCCTGATCAAATAAATATTTATTTTTTAGCTCAATAAACACAAAATTTCTAACAGTAAAATTCTCTTTAAAGGATAATACCTAGTTGCAGGCTCAAAGTGCCTTTAGGAGAGAAGTGTCTTCTTACTGGAGATTTTTAAATGAGTTAAAGTTGTAAATTTTTAGTGATTAAACTGGTCCTATGCAAAGATTTTTACTATAGAAAGAGTGTCCTCTCATGGAGATTCTATTGTATTGATAAAAATGTACAATCATTCCAGTAAAAAAGATTCTATCAAATATACATGCCTGGTATAAATTAAAGCTGGAGAGTTACTCTGATGTAAAAATATTGGGAATAACTGCTCTTTGTCTAGTCTTCTTTCATATCTCCACTCAATCATATCAGGGTATCAAGCCTGTAGAGCTTGAGATCCCACGTTGAGGATCAGTCTTGTAGTGACAGCCATAAGGTAGAAGATGGCCAAATGATAGAGAAGAGTCTTCTTTCTATCTCCACTCAATCATATTATGATATCAAGCCTGTAGATCTTGTTGATTGTGTCTGCTGGGGATGAGTAGAGCTCATCAATTGATGAGCTAATACAGTCAATGTTGTGGTTTATGGTTGAGAATCTTTGTCTAGTAAAGAAGCAGAAAAATTCCAGAGCCACATGGGGAACAAACCTCTCTCAGCAGGCCGATGTTCCTCATCCTGACGGCCCTCTGGACTGCCGTGGCCAGAGTCACAGAGGCCGGTGCTCAGGGCTCGCTGGAGGGGCGACCGCTCGCCGCTGCTGGAGCGGGGCTCCTCCATACAGAAGCCAGTACTGGCTGCCCGCTGCAGGGGAGGCCTCTCTGTGGGCAGCAGGTGGCTGTCCGACTTCTTGTGGGTGGAGGCTCGGTGGAATGGTGACGGCGGGTCCTTCAGGATGATGGGCTTGGGGATCTTGAACCTTCCTACGCGGTGTAGTGGCGGGTGGTCGGGGCTACGCGACTTTGGGGAGGAAGGCTTAGACTTGGGGGACTTGGACAACTTTGGGGACACTGGCTTTGGGGATGCAGGTTTGGGGGAAGCAGGCTTGGAGAAGGAGGTGGTGACACTGGAAGATGGGTCAAGGTCCTTCACCTTGGCCACCATCTCTATGGCTGGCCAGCGGGACTTGGTGGGGGTGCTGGTGGCTGGAGGGGAGGGGAACACAAACCTGCACACAGGAAACTACTGGGGCTACGTGTGTAGAACACTGGGAGGATAGAGACACAGGAATACCTTTCTGCAATAAAAACTTCAATCACAAGGTAACAAAACCAATTTGGGTTTGGTCTTATTACAGTAGAACCTCTCTGTAAAGGACACCACCTAGTTACAGAGCCAAAGTGTCCTTTAAGGAGAGGAGTCCTCTTACCAGAGAGTTACTACATAGTGAACATGGTGTTTTGGGTGATGAAAACTGTCCTTTATAGAGAGGTGTCCTCTAGCGTGAGTGTCCTCTCATGGAGTATGTTCTACTGTACCTTGTAGTTCTAATATATAATCCAAATTATGCCTTTACAAATACTTCAATTATTTTTTAAAATAGAGAGCAATTCATAAATGAATCTTTATATTAAAAAAGGCAAATATTGGAGAGATAAAGAAAAATAAAATAATTTATTTACCAATATTTCAGTTAACTGAACATTTACCTTTGTTAAGTTACAACAGAGTAATATTTTGTATAAACAAGCTCTCATTAGGTTATAGTTTGGGGGTTGGTGGAAGGGTGGTCTAAGCTGTTTGACTCGGGATCGAATCCTGCATTTGGGCACTTTTTTTATATTAAAAAAAATGCTCAAATGGTCCTCGATTCTTGCAAAAGTCCAACCCCACCAACGAGTGCAAGTAACCAAACGGGGCTCTGGCACATATGCAAGTGCAAAGTCGAACTGCTTTTCACATGTGTAGACATGTGGTGGACTTACAATAAAAGATGTCCACAAATTCTACCCACCAGGATTATCATGGCCTGTACTACGTGTAATAGAGATAATAATAATAAAAAAAGATTTTAGTTGGCAAAAAAAAAAGTTTTGCTTTAACCATTTTCTTCTTCATTGAATCTAAGTAAAATTATTTATTTATCCAGCTCTAACCCCCCATTGACATTATATGTGGTGCTGAGGTTATTTATATGAAATAAATATGTTGTTGCACCTTGACAAATATTAGTGTTCAATCAACTGAAATATTGTTAAATAAATCAATATCTCACACTTTTCCGGCCTAAATACCTGTTTCATGATTTTTCGGGATAACTCAAAGACCAGCTTTTTTAAGTTGTTAAGGTACAGCTTGCACCATGCTGATGAGGGCCAACAGCCGAAAAATATATGTAGTTAGCTTTTCTTTATTAATCAAAAAGAGTATAGCATATAGCGCCT